GATCGAATAGTGGCTGTTAAGAAAATTAGATCGGTCCCGATAATCCCAAGCTTTAAAAACCTAGACGATATCTGGCCAGCCAACAACGTCAACGCTAAATATTCGCGGAAACAGAATTAGCCTCTAGGACTAAGTGCAGCGTTGGAGAAGCTATTTGAAATTGGGCTTGCTGGGCTAAGTGAATAACAATTAATTAATTTAAGTCGAGCACTGAACAGAAAAGGAAGAGAACACGTTGGAACACACGAATGAGAAAACCTTGAAGACACTTCGCTTGGAAGCAGTAATTAAATCCTGCCACATAAAATCATAATTTTGTATAGTAAGGTATTAGTCGCTAATGCACAAGACATCCATAAATATGTCAGTGTACTCCTCGATGAATCCCTATTCATTAAGCTGTGGACAGGTTTTCAGTAGCCTTCGTGTTTAGCCAAGTAATAACCTGGGAAAATGAACCTTCTCGTTATTCCCGAGCCTTGCGCTAATTTCCACGGAGCTTAGGCTTAGTGCTAATGTTAGGGTCAGCCACCTTTATAAGTGGCGGGATCCTATTCCCTGTTTTACCCTCATATATATTAAATTAAAGCAATTTGCACATAAATTTCAACAGCTTCAAACTTAATGAGCTATCAAAAGATAGATTGGACAAAATAAATTACACTGTTTAAATTCCTAAATGGGTGGCTCGAGTGACAGCTAAATTATTTTCAGAATTTGATTATAAATATTGTATGCTTCGTCAACCAAATTCCCAAAAGGTATTCTCTCAAAAAAGGAGTGATCACGCAGAACGTCCCCTTCGCGGCTATGCTCAGCAGGGTAAAATAACTTCGCTGTATTATAAATCATAAGGCAGCCAATTACCTCAAATAAGTTACAGGAAATAGCTCAGAAATGCTTAGAATAGGAAACTGGCATACGCCATCAATTTGTTGACCACCTCAGGACACAAGCAGTATATGCCCAGTCTATTAAAACCGAAACCAGAGATTCGACATTTCACGTTATAAATCATGTCGTTCTTTTCCTGTCTTTGATGCGGCTAAAAAGTCCCCCAAAATGATCAGATAAAATCTTAAAATAGTTTCGGGGAGTTTGGGGAAAATTTTGAGGAGGACAAATAAAGACAAGCCAAATTTTGCTCTAAAAACTTTAATACAAGTCAGACATAGGGTATCTGAATTAAAATTAGATGAAATATCGAAGTATGCTTTTCTCTAGGAATAAGTATTGAGACAAGGTGTTATGTAAATTATGATAATACTATCCGTATCTTCATGTAAACCCTTAGATATGGGCTTTAAAGTAGCCGTAAAATGTTTTGATAGGTAAAGGTTTGGCCATATACTCATACTCCTCATTTCAAAAATAGCAAATGCTAGTAGATTTTAAAATTGTGGCAAAGGTAGTTAAAGTAGTGTACCTCATAGTCCCCTAGTCCAGCATTTTGTACTATGCAAACAGTGGTTATTTTGGTATTGGGGGTGGAGAAATAGGATAGGCTGTAAAGGAAATTTGTAGAAGTACGTGCTAAGTGGAAAAATGTCGTTAAATTTGTTTCCCGCGGTATCTGGGAGTAAGTTGTTCTGCATATTAATTGAAGGTGTGCGCGGCGCTCCACGCCGCGGATTATATATTATCTACAGTATGGCGAGTGCTGTAAGAAAATTGCCTGAGTTTGTAAAAGCTTGATTATTTCTCGCATAGCGGCGAGAACGCGTTAACGAAAACTTAGAAATAATAATGAGCAGCATTAGCATGTTAAGTACTTAAAAAAACTATAAGAAGCACCATGTGTTTGTAAAGAAAAATAAATTTTTCAGATGAAACCCAAGTTCCGGAAATGTAAAAAATAGCTATAAATTACAACAATAAATGTAAATATTTTATTAAGTTGAAAACGAAATGGAACCAATTTTGTATGAAAAGAACGTTTCTTTAGTCCAAATTTTCTGTACATATTACTATTAGTGGATAACTACTTATTGAATATCGTCGAATAGTCTGTCATTATTTTCTTCGTTTTCTGTGTCTTCATTGATAGATTGATAAATTGCGCTTCTGTTCGACGTTAACACCAAAACCTTTAAAATAACATGTTTATATATAAAGAACATTAACCAAAAGAAAGTGTTTTTGAATATAGGTTTTTATGAGGATGGCCATTTTTTCCAAATTGCGAAATGACTCATAACAACAAACCACATTTTTGGGAATAAATCATGTCCACAACGGAGTTCTAATACTGTTATTCCTAATATTAATAAAAAACTTTCTATAAAGGGTTAAATCTTTAAACGGTGCTTTGATTAGATATTCGGCTGACGAATTTCTGTGTATATTAACTTTTTTCAAGGTAATGTCACAATGAAATTGGAGAATTTTGACAATTTTTTAAATTTACCTGAAGATAAACGATTCAATCTGACTGGAGATGAAAGAACTTACTCTTCTCTTTATAATAGGTTGTTTTCCGCATACGTGCATTAATTCCACGATCTGCTATAAGTTTGCGAATGTAACAAACTGGCCATGTTTGGCCATTTTTGAAAAAGTTATTATTCTCCTGTCAGTGCCGTTTCTAAAT